GCCAATAATAAACTAGCAATATAATTAACTTTGAACTATAAATTAGCAGCAAAACCAAACATTTGACATTAGAATACTACTTGAAGTAGGTACATCACGTCACAAATGATAAACTGAGACTCAAGAAAACACGAGTAAAGTCTGTTATGTATAAACACAGACATATGGCTAAAGCTGCACAAATCAACAAATCACACATGGTACTGTCTTTCTGGTCATTAACGCACACTGACACAGGCAACAAAATGAATGAATGAAGGCGGCTGCGTGTTGCTCTGGCAACAGCTACGTGTTCAAGTACTTCAATATGTAAAATAGAAACCTAACACTAGGGGCGCACTTTTCTGCTTGGCTTTCCTATACTTTCCTACAAGCCCAAAAGGCTCATGGGAGATCCTCTCAAATTGATAAAACATAAAATTGCTCAAAATAATAAATAGTAGGCTGAAAAAAAATTAACATAAAGGTGCCTGGCTCCCAATTGTTTTGATAAGTGTGTTTGATTTAAAAAAAAAAACATTTTAGTGCAAGTTGATGTGAACCACGAGTGAGGCGTGTATCTCGATACAACACTCAAGTATCGGAAAGCAGCAATTTGAGCAGTGGAGACGTGCCCACATATCTGAAGACATATGTTTGTGTATCCAGCCAGCCTGAGGGACGCAGATAGAAACCTTCTATAGGTGTGGAAAATGTTCGGTGGGCCAACTGAAATGGTCTGGTGGGCCAACTTTGGCCTGCAGGCCCCACTTTGCGCACCCCTGGACTAGAGGAACGAGAGAGACCACAGAGAGAGACACCAGAGAGTCAGACCAAGGAGAGAGACTAGAAGGACAAACAAGACCAAAGACATCAGAGAGTCTCTGCTCTCGCTTTATTATATTTTGAATAATAAGGAAGTAAAGTAAACACCTGTGTCTCGTTTAAACTTCCTGTTTTTTAAGTTGTTGATCTCATTTTATGCAAATGACCTGTTTTGACTGAGGTCTGATCCAGGTCTAAGCAAATGTATTTATTTAGACCTGCAACAGACCTGCAACAGACCTGCTGAAAACCTAGTCCAGATTTGGTGAAGACCTGGTTTAGACCTGTTTAGATATGGTTCAGATCTGGTTCAGACCTGGTTCGGACCAGAGAGAGACACACCAGAGAGACCAGAGAGTGAGACCAGCGAAGGAGAACAGATAGAGACCGGAGGGACTATAGAGAGACCAGACAGAGAGAGAGAGACCTTGAGACCAGAGAGGGCATGGAGAGACTTTGCTTGTTTTTATCTTTTTATATTTTTTAATAATGTGAAGTAAAAACCTGTGTCTCGTTTAAACTTCCTGTTTTTGAAGTTGTTGATCTCATTTTATGCAAATGAGCTGTTTTGACTGAGGTCTGATCCAGGTCTAAGCAAATGCATTTGTTTAGAACAGACCTGGTCCAGACCTGGTTTCAACTGTTTACACATGGTCTACACCTAGTTTGGACCTGGTTCATGACTTAATTTGAACTGGTTCAGGCTTGGTTTAGACTTGGTTCAGATGTGGTTCAGACCTTATTTTGACCTGGTTTTTTTCTGGTTTAGACCTGGTTAGACCTGGTTTAGACCTTGTCCATAACTGGTCCAGACGTGGTCCAGACCTGGTTTCAACTGTTTACACATGGTCTGCACCTAGTTTGGACCTAGTTAATGACTTAATTTGAACTGGTTCAGACTTGGTTCAGACCTGGTTCAGACCTTGGCCATAACTGGTCCAGACGTGGTTCAGACCTGGTTTAGAGCTTGTGTAGACCTGGTTCAAGGCCTATTTCATACCTTGTTTTGAACAGTTTTTTTAAAATTGGTTTGGACCTGGTTTGGACTTGGTTCCAGGACTATTTCAGACCTGGTTTAGGCCTGGTTTTGAACTGGTTTATCTCCATCTATTGAAGGTTTTTTTCAATTTAGTTTGTTAAAGTTAAGCTTTGTTTCTTTTCAAATCGTGAAGAGGGACAGATGTTTTCTGAATGCAACACCAGTCAGACCCGCCCCACAGGTTCCTGAATTCAAATCCGAGATAAACAGGAGATTACAAATTTGTAATCTTTTTATAGTGTACTACTATGTCATATGTAAAAAATATCCATCCATCCATCCATCCATTTTCTACCGCTTCATCCGTTGCCGGGTCGCGGGGGCAGCAGTCTAAGCAGAGACGCCCAGACTTCCCTATCCACACACACTTCCTCCAGCTCGTCCGGGGGGACTCCAAGGCGTTCCCAGGCCAGCTGAGAGACATAGTCCCTCCAGCGTGTCCTGGGTCTTCCCCGGGGCCTCCTCCCGGTGGGACGTGCCCCAGGGAGGCGTCCAGGAGGCATCCGGAACAGATGCCCGAGCCACCTCAACTGGTTCCTCTCAACGTGGAGTAGGAGCGGCTCTACTCCGAGCTCCTCCCGTGTGACTGAGCTCCTCACCCTATCGGCTCAGCTCCCTCTTTACCACAACGGTCCGATACAGAGACCGCATCACTGCGCACGCTGCACCGATCCGCCTGTCAATCTCACGCTCCATCCTTCCCTCACTCGTGAACAAGACCCCGAGATACTTGAACTCCTCCACTTGAGAAAGAGCCTCTCCACCCACCTGGAGAGCACCTGAGCACCATGGCCTCAGATTTGGAGGTGCTGATTCTCATCCCAGCCGCTTCACACTCGGCTGCAAACCGTCCCAGTGCTTGTTGTAGGTCCTGGTTCGTTGGAACCAACAGGACAACATCGTCCACAAACAGCAGAGATGAAATCCTGTGGTCCCCGAACCGGACGCCCTCCGACCCCTAGCTGCTCCTAGAAATTCTGTCCATAAATACAGTGAACAGAACCGGTGACAAAGGGCAGCCCTGGCGGAGGCCAACATGCACCGGGAACAGGTCTGACTTACTGCCGGCAATGCGAACGCAGCTCTGGCTCCGGTCATACAGGGACCGGACGGCCCTCAGCAGAGGACCCCGGACCCCGTACTCACGGAGGACCCCCCAAAGGACACCCCGGGGAACACGGTCGAACACCTTCTCCAAATCCACAAAGCACATGTGGACAGGTTGGGCGAACTCCCATGAACCCTCGAGTATGTCAAAAATATGTTTTGTTTAATACATGAAATACAATTGAAGTTGCTGACATTACCCGACCGTCAGGAACCAGAGAGAGCCCAGAGAGAGACCAGAGAGATCACAGAGAGATCACAGAGAGAGACCAGAGAGAGAGACCAGAGAGAGACCAGAGAGATCACATAGAGAGACCAGAGAGACCAGAGAGAGAGACCAGAAAGAGACCAGAGAGAGACCAGAGAGATCACAGAGAGAGACCAGAGAGATCACAGAGAGACCAGAGAGAGACCAGAGAGAGACCAGAGAGAGAGAGAGACCACAGAGAGAGACCAGAGAGAGGCCACAGAGAGACCGCAGAGAGAGACCACAGAGAGACCACAGAGAGAGACCACAGAGAGACCACAGAGAGAGACCACAGAGAGAGACCACAGAGAGACCACAGAGAGAGACCACAGAGAGACCACAGAGAGAGACCACAGCGAAAGACCACAGAGAGACCACAGAGAGAGACCACAGAGAGACCACAGAGAGAGACCACAGAGAGACCAGTGATAGAGACCAGAGAGACCAGAGGGATAAGCTTTTTTCTTTTTCTTGCTTTTATGGATTTTGAAATAAAGTGAAGTAAAAACCTGTGTCTCGTTTAAACTTCATATTCTTGACGTTAGGATCTGGTTTAGACCAGTTTAGACATGGTTCAGACCTGGTTGAGACCTGGATTTTATTTGTTTTGGGAAGTGTCACCTCCCAGTCAAAATACCAGATTGAGCTGCGTTCCAGGGCACCAATAAATGAACACGTGGCAACATTTGGTCAATTTTATATTAAAGTTGATTCCATTGTTTTCTTTTCATCTGTATATTTGTATCTTTATTTGAGGCTGATGAGTTTTAGAGAGTTCATGGTACCATTCCTAGTATTGTTGGTATTTATCGCTTCACATTGCCCAGATTTGGCTCCTACCATTGCTCATACTTAACCGTTGTTACTATGTAACTCTAATGCGTTACTATGGTAACTCAAACTTGTACTGTCTGTGTTAATATAGTGCAGAACTTTATATGAACTTAATCAAACGTTGTTGATAGCCTTGTGTCACAGTGAAGACCATTTTTGTGTAATATTTATTATGGGGTTTTTCTTCTTGCTCCCTTTCAGGCAACTATTTTGGTTTATTTAATTTAACTCTTTTGTAGGTTAGCAAACTTTTCTTATTTTTTGTTGGAAACTATGATGGACAAGAGGTGACTTGTGCCCAATGTGAAATTCCTGAAATAAATAAATAAATGATAATGCTGTTTCAGCTACAGTTGAACCTGATGAAATCTCACACAACAAAGAGACAAAGTTAATCTTTTACTTGTTACATTGTACAAGGAGAATGTCTTGACAGAGGCAAGGCACAGACCCTAGCCTCTCTCAGGACAAGTCTGAAGATTCACAGTCTGCGCGCTTTGATCCTTGCAAATCGGCCCGTGATTATTCGTCAGCAGCTTCCGGTGCGGGGGGGGGTTCTGTGGAGGGTCGTTTTGTAGGTGTCGATGGCTGTATGGAGATGGCGATGGGGTGGGTTTTCTGTCCCACAATGGAAAATAGGTGGATTTTGTTGCTTTGAAGCTTTGGCAGGGATGTAGCATTTTTCTCAAAAACAATATAATGTGTTGTGTTTATATCACTAGGAGTCAACAGGATTTAGGAATTAATGATGGTTTATCAATTTGATGACAGAATGATGTTAGAAAAAACTATTATTTTGGCAATAAGAAATATCTTTCAGATGAATCTAATCACGATCAAATAAGTATCTTGGAAACCATTCGTCATAATGCACATTAATGCAGACATGATTTGGGTCTTTCTTTCAAAAAAAGTTGGTACCTGCCCTCCAACTGAAAAATAATTTGGATCGGTGCAGCGTGCGCAGTGATGCGGTCGCTGTATCGGACCGTTGTGGTAAAGAGGGAGCTGAGCCGAAAGGCAAAGCTCTCGATTTACCGGTCAATCTTCGTTCCCTCCCTCACCTATGGTCATGAGCTTTGGGTAATGACCGAAAGAACGAGATCGCGGATACAAGCGGTCGAAATGAGCTTCCTCCGCAGAGTGGCTGGGCGCTCCCTTAGAGATAGGGTGAGGAGCTCAGTCACACGGGAGGAGCTTGGAGTAGAGCCGCTGCTTCTCCACGTCGAGAGGAACCAGTTGAGGTGGCTCGGGCATCTGTTCCGGATGCCTCCTGGACGCCTCCATGGGGAGGTGTTCTGGGCACGTCCCACCGGGAGGAGGCCCCGGGGAAGACCCAGGACACACTGGAGACACTATGTCTCTCAGCTGGCCTGGGAGTGCCTTGGGAATCCGTGTATCATTCGTTCTTTTGATTTTCTAAATAAAACCAACATTGAAAAAACGAATAACGAGGGATGTTTTTGATTCTTAATATTTGAATTTAATGCAAAATAGAAATATTGGTTTGTTTTTTTGTTTTCTGTGGATCCAATTAAAACGAAAATGCAGTAAACCAATAATGACCGTCTAAATTACATTTTGCGATTTTCCTTTGAAACACAAACGTCCCCCGGAAGTGATTCGAAAGTGCGAGTTTGTCATGAGAACAGGAAGTGTCGCCTCCAGGTGCTTGGATCGCACCTTGTTAGCGTTGGTTGTAGGAGAAATGTCTCTTAAAACTCTCCTCAACATCAGTCAGATTACCAGCTTTTTCGTTCGCTGCTGCAGAGACCATCGCAGATGAGAATTCTCAGATTCACGAGAGAAGTGTTTTCTTCGATTAAAAATATATACACAAGTGTCAAGGTAAGACATAACTTAGCAACTAGCGCTAACAGCTAAGTTAGCATTAGCTACGACACATTTAGCTTAAGCACATACATGAAACACTTACACATGTAACAAATGCACCTAATTTGGGTGCTTTATTATTATAAATGTATGTTATAGACTTTCATATTATATAAGAACATGATATGTGTGTGTATTGGTGAAAGTAATTATGGTAAATTTTAGTAAATAAAAGATGATGCTAGATGTACCTTAACCATTCAATTGTGCTTTGTTTCTGCTTCATTCTCAATTATTGTCGAGGGACAGTAGTTAGAGCTAGATGCTTCAGGCTTATGAAGAGAAACGAGGAGCCCTCAGACTGCCAGTTTTGAAACAGTCAGAAAGACTGCAGGTTTGAAACAGTCAGAAAGACTGCATGTTGGAAACAGTCAGAAAGACTGCAGGTTTGAAACAGTCAGAAAGACTGCATGTTGGAAACAGTCAGAAAGACTGCATGTTGGAAACAGTCAGAAAGACTGCAGGTTGGAAACAGTCAGAAAGACTGTAGGTTTGAAACAGTCAGAAAGACTGCATGTTGGAATCAGTCAGAAAGACTGCATGTTGGAAACAGTCAGAAAGACTGCAGGTTTGAAACAGTCAGAAAGACTGCATGTTGGAATCAGTCAGAAAGACTGCATGTTGGAAACAGTCAGAAAGACTGCAGGTTGGAAACAGTCAGAAAGACTGTAGGTTGGAAACAGTCAGAAAGACTGTAGGTTGGAAACAGTCAGAAAGACTGTAGGTTGGAAACAGTCAGAAAGACTGCATGTTGGAAACAGTCAGAAAGACTGTAGGTTGGAAACAGTCAGAAAGACTGCATGTTGGAAACAGTCAGAAAGACTGCATGTTGGAAACAGTCAGAAAGACTGCAGGTTGGAAACAGTCAGAAAGACTGCAGGTTGGAAACAGTCAGAAAGACTGTAGGTTGGAAACAGTCAGAAAGACTGCATGTTGGAAACAGTCAGAAAGACTGTAGGTTGGAAACAGTCAGAAAGACTGCAGGTTGGAAACAGTCAGAAAGACTGTAGGTTGGAAACAGTCAGAAAGACTGCATGTTGGAAACAGTCAGAAAGACTGTAGGTTGGAAACAGTCAGAAAGACTACAGGTTGGAAACAGTCAGAAAGACTGCATGTTGGAAACAGTCAGAAAGACTGCATGTTGGAAACAGTCAGAAAGACTGCATGTTGGAAACAGTCAGAAAGACTGCAGGTTTGAAACAGTCAAAGCCGCTGGGCTCATGTTCAGTTTGAGTTCCTGTCCTGATAGAAGACTAGCATAGCATCTTTCTGTTTGGTGGTTACTATTTCTCTTCTGCTGACTTTATAAGATAGTTAAGTTATAACAAGTAATAATTATGTCTGTTCTAAACCCACTTTTCTGTTTTAGATCTCACTGGGTGTGCAGCAGGTAAAGGTTTCAGACTTCACACTACTCCCAGCCTTGGCCTGTACCAGTGATCTGCAAAGCTCTCCAGCTGGTCCTGGCCTGTACCAGTGATCTGCAAAGCTCTCCAGCTGGTCCTGGCCTGTACCAGTGATCTGCAAAGATGGATGTGTTTATGTCAATGCAATAAAATTAATAATAACTGATCTACAAATCTCCTTTTTGTTCCTTTACATTTTAAACTTTCAACTCGTGTTTATCATTGTAAATTTATGTTACAAAATTAGAATCATTGCATGAAAAAGCACATACTCATCAGTGTACATTATGTTCTGTCACATTTGAAAGTGTAAAAACTTTTCTTAAATCCAGTTGTCCTGGTCTTAATGGGCATTACACACGCAGTGACCTCACAGACAGAGATGTAAACTGTATGGTCAATCTAACATGCTGGTTAGGAAGTCTAACATGTGTTCTGTGAATGTAAAAACCTCTTTGTTCCAGTCTTTTTGGGCTCCTTTATTCTACAAGCAGTCAGTCTGCAGAGGTTAACAGTTTCCTATGACTCTGAGGACGCTGCTGAAGATCCCAGACACAGTCGTCCAGTCAGAGGTTTGCTGAGTGCAGTGTGCGCTCCTTTCCTACGTCACTGCTACTATCGGTTTATGTGTAGAGTCATGATGTTACCTAATAGTATTGTACAGTCCCTGGTTTGCCCTTACATTAGCTCAGTCAGGTTCACTTCTAAACTTTGGAGTCACTGGCTTCTTTGTATGTGTGACTTGCTGTAAATATGTGATTATGTGTCTTTTTAACACAGCTTTTTTTTTTGTATTCTTTCATTCTTAGCTCTGGATCCTGTGCTTGCATGTAAGTCCTTAGTAAAGTCTAAATAAAATTGGACCCATGTTGCTGCTGAAAGGAAGTCTGAGGTGTAAGTTGTTCTGTAAAGGTACATTCAAATACACAACTTGTCATTTTACAGTCTTGTTTAGTTAAGAATGTCATTTCCTAATTCATAAATCTATTGATAAATACTAAACTATTAGTGGATTATGTGTTTTAACGGGTTTTCCCATTGCGATTCAACACAATTTAGAAAAAAAATTTACAGAATTGTGTCCAAGTGTTTTAATTTGGGAACAAACTAATCAAAAATATTTACACTGGAACAGACACACAGAAGATTTACATACATGATGAATTTAGTCTTTGGCCTTCTTAATTTGCCAAAACACAACAAGCTGTGATTCCTGAGCCTCGGGAGACAGAATCCCTCTTGAATGTTGCAATACAATTATTCAAGGAAAAAGAGATGGAGCAGCAATAGTTTTAAGGCGGCTGATATGTAAAAAAAAGGGCAGGAACATGATCCATGTTTAATGAATACATTTACTCAGAATACCTTTCTGTGAGCCCTATACGATGAAATAACGCCACTTCAAAAAGTTTGCTTTCGTGATTAACCACTGTATCAAAAAGAAGGGACATGACTCAGCTGATGACTTGACATTTGGACAAACCTAGTCGGTGTAACGTGGTTGATATTTCTGCATATGTTTGAATGTTTTAGAAGCATTCTATCGCTGTATCTGCAAAGTCTTCCAACGCACCCATCATTAGTTTACCTGCGGGTCGCACTTGCTCACTCCGGGGATCTGTAACTCCTTAATCGCAAAGTAATTTAGACGATCATTATTGGTTTACTGCATTTTCGTTTTAATTGGATCAACAGAAAACCAAAAACAAACCGATATTTCAATTTTGCATTAAATTCAAATATTGGGAATCAAAAACATCCCTCGTTATTCGTTTTTTCAATGTTGGTTTTATTTAGAAAATCAAAAGAACGAATGATACACGGATTCTTGGGGTCCCCCCGGACGAGCTGGAGGAAGTGTGTGCGGATAGGGCGTCTCTGCTTAGACTGCTGCCCCCGCGACCCGGCAACGGATGAAGCGGAAACAGCTGCAATATATTCAAATGCAGCAGCTCGAGTCCTGACTAGAACCAGTCCTCAGGTCTCTGCACTGGCTTCCTGTGGCTCAGAGAATAGACTTTAAAACAGCTCTGCTTGTTACAAGTCTCTCCATGGCCTCGCACCAAAATATATTAGTGACATGTTAGTCCCATATGAACCAGCCCGGACTCTGAGGAGCACAGGGACTGGACTCCTGCTGGGACTCTGAGGAGCACAGGGACTGGACTCCTGCTGGGACTCTGAGGAGCACAGGGACTGGACTCCTGTTAGTGCCCAGAGTCAGAACTAAACATGGGGAGGCTGCTTTTCAGATTCATGCTGCTAAAATCTGGAACAATCTTCCTGAAGATGTGAGACAGGCCTCCTCTCTGACAATGTTTAAAACCAGGTTAAAGACAGTTCTGTTTAGCTGTGCATACAACTGAGGGATTTTATATTTTTATCTTTCATTTTAATGTTCTGTGATTATTTATGATGTTAATCTTACTTTGTTCTGCACTTTGAGTTCCCTTGTGTATGAAATTGTGCTATACAAAAACAATTGCCTTGCCTTGCCTAAACAATAGAAAGTAGATAATATAAATTACTAATAAATGAAACAATACTTATCCCTACTGGTGCTGGCGCTCTGTCTGCAAAGGTCCCTGCAATAGTTTGAATACATGTAAATACAAATGACGTGTGTAATGAATAAAAAAGGCGTGGCAAGACTTAATAAAACTCAGCTGATTTCCTGCTGAGAAGCGTTTCTTCAGGGACTGATCGAGACGAAAACCTGCAGGTAGTAGTATTATGTTTCACTTACTATTGTATGTATTATTTTAATGCCAGGTCTGAACATTGCATTAGTAAGTTTAATTGTATTCTTTAGTTTAGGCTCATTCCCTAACCAAATTTTAACTCAGATTTGTATTTAACTATTATTTATTTCATACAGTTGTTTTTGTAATGGAATGTAAATTATATCGCACTCGGAGACTTTGAGAAGCCTGTCAAACGAAGTTTATTACAATTATTATGATCTCACATAAACCACTTCAATCTTTGCGTCCACCGGCTTTACACCATCACCCACAACTTTCTCCAAATACACTACTGTTGCCTCCAAAAGCATGCATTTGGTGAGGTGCTAGTCGCCCTAAAATGTCCTTAAGCTGACAAAGTAACTCACTGCATGCAACATGACATCATCCAAGTGATTCTGGATTTGTTTTTTTTTCTTTCATAAAGTGTAGCGTTCACACCAGCCCACATGAGGACAAACACATACATGTAGATGTTGTTGTTCTACAGTACATCAGTTCTCTGGCCCGTGCCGTCCTCTACACTTCTCCATAGACTACACAGGGAAAGCATCAGAAGCCGCATCCCTGTACACTCTGCTGCTGTGTACACAAGCGCAAGACACGGGCCGCCTGTCACGTGGTGGAAAGGGGAAGGACTCACAATAGAGGAATACAAAATAATGATTTAATAAAGATGATAGATAAAAGTCCAAGGTAAAAACAAAGCTCAAAAATCCGAGGAACAGGACGGGGAAGCATAGACATTGACAAGACAATGGACCAGCAACACGGGGACAGGAGCACAGGTACATATAGACACACGTGAAACAAATCAGGACAGGGCCAGCTATCAACAGGGGACCGGGACAGCACTGCGCCCGTCTGCGTGTGTGGTGTGTTCGCTCCTCGCTAATATCAAAGGCGTCGCTGCACGGTGGCGCTTTTTAACAACAATGACTAATAACAGACACTAACCATATCCCAATTCAAGTGCATTATGACGATAGGCTTTACAAAACACAGTTGACACAATTTTTATCTAAGATTTTGCTAAAGATTTTCAATTCTTCATTCCAGTTCTACCATTATTAATTACTTCATTGCATTTCTTTTGTTGATTTGTTGATTCTCTGATCTGTGTTGGCAAATTCAACGGTTTTCAACGGAGATAACTGCTGTTTAGGGCTGTACAAGGAAACATTGAATTGAATTAAATAATTGTCTTTGTAGTTTTGATTGTAATTAACTGGGATAAAACTCCTCCAAAGGGCAGTAAAGAAATATGTTGGCAAGCGAAATTAAGAACACATGTTGATTTAGTGGAGAGACTCATTTAAGAGTAGATAGACAGATTGATAGATAGATACTTTATTTATCCCCGTTGGAGAAATTCAGGTGTCCAGTAGCAGCAGAAACACATCCATCCAGACAAACAAAATAAATCATTTTTCGTAATTCTAAAAGTACCTAATAATGGTAATAAAATGCAAAAGCACTTTAGGTTACAGCAGCAGAGGTGGAGTACGCTTGGTCTCCTTGGTTTGGACTGTGGATCAGAGATGGGAACTTTCGAGTCGGACTCGAGTCCAACTTAAGTTGCTATTTTTAGAGACTTGCATCTCAACTCGGGCTCTTCCACTAAAGCGGTGGTTTTCCAACCAGTGTGCTGTGGCGGTCACATGGGGGATATGAAGAAAAAGGGAACCCAAAACGCAAGACTAAAAAGCAAATGTAAGGTATACTCCAGAACTGAAAACTAGACAGGACAAATGTGGTAGAGACTGAATATGCTGAATATGAAGGTATTTATGAAAGTCACGTCTACAATTATGCAGCAATCGCCTGTAAAACGCCCTGTTTTTGCGACATGTCAGCAGGAAGCCGGCCAAAAAGACAGTTTGGAAGCCTCAAATGGCCTGTGGCACGTTTGCTTGTTCATGGTTATGTAAAAATAAATATACGCTATTTATTCAGCTGCGTTTTGAACAAATTTGCAAAAAATGTTTTGATACATTCGAAAAATCTCAATTCAATCAGCTTTAATTGTAGAAGCGAAAAAATAAAGAATGAATGAAGGAATTTATACTGTATACTGTATATTATGCAGCGGTGGCTCTCATCAATGAAGCGTCTGCAGCATCTTGTGAATGCAATGAAGCGCTGTACACTTGAGAGAGGATGAGACGCGTTTTGCGGTCCAGATTTCACAGAGAAACTCTGGAGCCAAAACTTCTGAATGACAGCATTTGAGGAGTTTTGTGGCGCGTCTCTCATGGCACCTGCTGCGGATGCACTGCCCAAGAGTGCACTGCCCAAGAGTGCGCAGCGGGTGGACAGGGCAGTGAGACAATTGGAGTGAGCTATACATAGTCCATCGGTGCATTTATGGGGTGTGTGTCTGTGTGAGGCTTACACAAATCTAATGAAAACATACATTGCTTTACCAGATGTGAATGAGGAATACAAATAGCCGTGCGTAATTACGCAGCGCAGAGCCTGCTACGGCAATAGCTGGGTCACACATCCCTGTCGCATAAAGTGTATTTGTATAGACCCTTTCACTGTCCAGGATCACAAAGCCCTTCACATTTTAAAAACATACAGATCATAATAATACACACACAAGTCAGATTTAAAATCATAGAAACAGAAGAGGCTCCTCATCATAATCTGTGATTTATTCGAAGTTTGCGTGTTTCCAGAGTGTTAGACTTTTTCTGATCTGCGCAAATTCAAATTCCGAAACATTATGCTCCATGAAAACGCAGCGTATAATGTTGCCAGAGTAGGAACATGTTTATTGTTGTCCAAATCTTGAATTTTATGCGTGTTTTGGCGTGTTGTGCCGAAGGTTGAAATGAGCGTACACATTTACACCACCTATTGACTTGGTGTATATTCTGTGCATACCGTACGCTCACGTCCAGATTGACAAATGCGGAAAAGTGTAATTTTTTTCCGTACGCCTCATTTACACCCTGATTTTGCTATACGCAAGTTTCATAAATGAGGCCCAATGGACGGACAACACGTAAGGAAAAGCACAAGGTATAAATATACACGGGAGAAACAGGTGGATCACATTAGGGCGGGGCTTACAATCAACAGGAATCAAACTCAAACTACAAGAGAACAAATAAAGTTAAACAAAACTAGGTCAAAATAATCCAAAAAGTCCACACCATGACAGTGGCATGTTGGTGTGCCTTGAGACTTTGCTTGATGTTCCTTTGGAAATGATCCATAATCATCTTATTGATCCAAAAGAAAACAATGTGAGAAGATTAGACCAAATGATTGTGCTTGTTTGATCTTCAATATGATACACTTTGCTTTCTTATAGATAGATAAATAGATACTTTATTGATCCCGCAGGAGAAATCCAGGTGTCCAATAGCAGCAAAAATAAACAATACAAAATAAAATTGATCATTCTAAAAAGAGAACAGTAATAATCAGCAACAGCCCTTCAGGTCACAGCAGCAGAGGTGGAGTAGCCTCTGGGTGGAGCAGGACGGGTCACAGCAGCAGAGGTGGAGTAGCCTCTGGGTGGAGCAGGACGGGTCATAGCAGCAGAGGTGGAGTAGCCTCTGGGTGGAGCAGGACGGGTCACAGCAGCAGAGGTGGAGTAGCCTCTGGGTGGAGCAGGACGGGTCACAGCAGCAGAGGTGGTGTAGCCTCTGGGTGGAGCAGGACGGGTCACAGCAGCAGAGGTGGAGTAGCCTCTGGGTGGAGCAGGACAGGTCACAGCAGCAGCAGAGGTGAGTAGCCTCTGGGTGGAGCAGGACGGGTCACAGCAGCAGAGGTGGAGTAGCCTCTGGGTGGAGCAGGACGGGTCACAGCAGCAGAGGTGGAGTAGCCTCTGGGTGGAGCAGGACGGGTCACAGCAGCAGAGGTGGAGTAGCCTCTGGGTGGAGCAGGACGGGTCACAGCAGCAGAGGTGGAGTAGCCTCTGGGTGGAGCAGGACGGGTCACAGCAGCAGAGGTGGAGTAGCCTCTGGGTGGAGCAGGACGGGTCACAGCAGCAGAGGTGGAGTAGCCTCTGGGTGGAGCAGGACGGGTCATAGCAGCAGAGGTGTAAATCCTGACAGGTAAAGTTTACTTGAAAAAACCATTAACTTCACTTGAATTCCTCGAGTACATCCTTTACTTGATATTACCAAGTGATTGCAATACATTTTCAGTTTCAACTTATGTTCCAACCGGGGTTCAAACTTACAACCTTGTAGTTGGGAGGTGACGGTGCTATCCACTCAGCCTCCGGGCCATGCCAAATTATCATACCTGTTTCATTAAAGACTCTACACGTCAAAATGTCAAAAGTGAGGTTTACTTGAACAGACAGTTCCATTCAAAGAAAACCCTGAGTGATATCGCCTTGCTTTACATAAACTAACAATAAATGAGTAATATTCAATTACTGGGACAAAATCTACATAACTTTAAAATAACTTTGATATCTGAAATACGATTGAAGTTAGGGTTTACAGTGCGCAGGACAGGTCACAGCAGCAAAGATGAGTTAGCCTTTGGCTGGAGCGGGACGGGTCATAGCAGCAAATATGCAAATATGCTATTTGCATATTTGCTGCAAATAGCATATTTTTGCAGATGCATCCATTTCACAGTAGCCTATTCACAACTGGTAAGTGCGCGCTCTTTGGTCGTGATTGTGGGTAGGGCATTCTTGACTGTGCGGGAATGAATCAAGCCCCGGCAATCCAAGATGGCGCCCTATTCAAGTGAATGGCTTCTGCTCAGTAGCGCATGGGACTTCATGGAGACAGGGAGATTATCTGAACTCGCCTATATATGGGCATCGTCTGGTCCTCCCGGTTCTCCCATAATGCGTCGCGCCAAACGTGCGTGTATGGCTTTCATGCACGCGCACGGAGGGGCTCGGCCGCGCTCTGACCGATCAGAGCTGATTATCAGAGCAGCGGAAGATTGGAGCCAGAGCGGGAAGGAAAGGAGCAGAGTTTGTGGCAGTAAAGTGTGGATTTAAAGAAAACCGAAGGATTTAAGAAGAACAAAAGTTCAGGATGACAAGGAACACTAAAATCCCCACCAAATCCGATCTTTATGAAAGCTGTAGGTTCTTTGTCAGTTGAGGTCGCGCTGTTTTAATATACATTGAGTTCTATGGGACTTTTTTCTGGGTAGCCCTCATGAATTTAGTCTGCAGTACCACAGGCGCCGCCTGTGCCCATAGGTGGGACAGCTTTAAGCTACTAATACCCTATCCAGTTATTATTATAGATCCATGGAATGAATACATTGGCTAAAAGAGCTAGCAGCAAAAACTTCCATCAGCAGAAGATCAGGAACAGCTGTGGCACAAGGAGAGATGACGGGGGAAAAGCGCACGGGGATGGTGGTGTCTATGGCCGCAGTCCTAAATATCTGAATTCTAAACATTGGTCTGGATCAGTGTAAAACCAAGAACACTGTTCTGCAGTAACATTTATATAAGAAGCAAGAAAAAAAACAACTACAAAGCACAAACGACAACTGTTTCAGAGCCGCTAAGGACCTGCCGCTGTTTCCAGCACATTCAAAAATTAAACGAACATGTGCTGTAAATTACACACATGTTTGTGTGTATAACTGTATTTCTCCCACTCGCAACGTCATCAGTTCTATAGAACACTTGCTCATTGTATCAGTGTAAAACTACTATTTTATTTAGCAGATTTCATTCACCAGAAAAATACATTCTAAGTTGAATATCATAAAAAAATGTGGAAACTTGCTTTTATTGAAACAGTTCTACATTTTCAGTTTGCTGAAGGACATTCAGGACGAGCTCAACCAACAATGGAACCTGGACCAAAGGTAAATCATCACTTTAGACCAAAGTCTCCAGATTTCATGTATGATATTATGGTTTGTGTTCCATCAGGTGCTCTTTGACCCTATCCACGGTCACATGGAGTTTCATCCTATTCTGGTCAAAATCATAGACACGCCTCAGTTTCAAAGACTTCGATACATCAAACAGCTGGGAGGAGCGTACTTTGTTTATCCAGGAGCTTCCCACAACCGATTTGAACACTCACTTGGGTACGTACAAAGTCAATGGGAGGAGAAAATGAAATTCAAATGTAAACTTAATTCACATTTCCTCTTACAGAACGGCCCACTTAGCTGGAAAGCTCGTGCGAAGTCTCAAAGAGAAACAAACAGATCTTGGCATCGATGACAGAGACGTTCTTTGTGTTGAAATTGCCGGCCTCTGCCATGATCTGGGTGAGGAGATATTGACACACAGAAGTTTGTGTAAAGGTTTTGACACATGGAACATGAGGCAACGGTAAAAATGAAAAGATCTTGAAAAGACATGCAGGTGCAGATAAAACAGCATCATAATGTTTCACTTTAACACAATAGAAAGAAACAGCTCCAAAAACCCACAATTATGTAAAAAATGGTGATGCTCTGTACGCTCGGTTTGTGGACAGAGACCAAAGGACAAAAACGCTGGTGCTGCCTACTGACTGTAGTGCGAGACCCCACTTTGTCTCACACAAATGAAAAGATTTAACAAATATAATCTATTTCTCAATCCGGCATTTGATCCTTAAGAGGCTCATTTATATGTCTAGGTGATGAACTGCAAGTGGAAAGTACAAATTTAGTGGTTCGGATAATGACAAAGAAATGTTCTCCAATTTAAAAATGGTTCCAAACACTTTTTAACATGACAAAAATTGTTTTTCTTTGTTTTGAATAAACTCTGCAAGACTGAGAGTTTACACAAACATGAACAAATAATATTTAATGATGTTATTGATTGTTATTTTCCTGAAGGACATGGGCCTTTCTCTCACATGTTTGATGGAAAGTTCATTCCTAAATCTAAATATAAACCTGGCTGGAAAGTAAGAGTCACATTCTAAATCAACCAAAAGTATGTCTGGTATAAAGTTTGATTAAATAATCTGTATTATTTCCACTGCAGCATGAGAAGGCGTCGCTTAGGATGTTTGATCAAATTGTTGTATCCTTGAATTTGAGTCAGCACCTGAATGTTGATGACATCATGTTCATTAAGGAGATGATTAATGGACCAATTGAACCGGTAAACTGTTGCAGGATCTATATTATTGTGACATCAACAGAATGACAATGTATGAAAATCAATTAGGGACGTTACGAGGGCCGCTCACTAAACAAGTCTTTCCTCTACGAGATAATCTCCAACAAAAGAAACGGCATTGATGTGGACAAGTTTGACTACTTTGCCAGGTTTGGCCTGATCTAGAAAAGAAGCTTTATTCATTTTACTTCAGAACAACTGTGCCGAGAATGTGATTCTATTTGAACAGAGATTGTTATCATCTTGGAATAAAGAATAGGTTTGACCACAATCGCTACATCCAGTTTGCTAAAGTTTTTTGGGAGGACGGTAAATGGCAGATCTGCACCAGAGATAAGGTTTGAGGTGTTTAATATTAAAATTAGGGTTGTCAAAATCATCACGTTAATTACATTTTTCGTTAACCCGTAAAAAAAAAATTAACGCATGTCCGAATGACCCGCCCATTTATCCATAATATCACTCAGAATGCTGCGTGTGAGATGCATCAGAGCAGGTAGGTCCTCTGGGAAATCAAGTTTTAAAAGAATACGTGCGTGACCGCGGGGAACTTGCTGTTTGCCATGAACTGAAGTCCGCCTCCTCCGCGGCCGCTCTGGTTGTTGTTAGCGGCTGCCGCTAACAACAACACGGCTGTGAGCGAATGGCGCTGCGGTAACATGGTCATCTAAGACCATACACGCCACTGAACTATTCTCTACATGTTGTGTTCGTGTCTTTGCAACCTGTGCGTAACCTGTGCACGCAAATACAGCGCGGAAGTGTCCACGTCTCCTCCTGAAACTAAACTGAAACGCTGAATTGAAGCTATGGTACGTAAATGTCCCCCTTTCATTAACAGCTCATTTTGGTTGTGCCCAAAAGCAAGAGGTTGTGAGCAAATCTAACAGATTTAAGTACATTTGGTCTGAATGACAATGTGTCATTACATTTGATAATCTCATTCAACTTCAATTGGAGTGGATTTGAAATAGAATGTTAAAAATGTGATTAATCGTGAGTTAACTCACCATTAATGTGCGATTAATTAACTAAAAAATGTTAATCGTTTGACAGCCCTAATTATAATTAATATTATGATTCAAATTGTTTTAGCTTTTTAAGTGGTTTCATTGTCAACAGGAACTGCCCAATGTTTATGAAATGTTCCACGCGAGGAGTTCTCTCTACAGAAAGGCTTGCTTTCACAAGACCAAAGAGAGCATTGAGCTGATGTAAGTACATTGATCCTCTTCCTCTGTGTGGATGTACATGCTTTTTGTGTTGCACCATCATTTGGAAAGTAATCAACATGAAATATAAAATGCAGGATTACGGACGCCTTACTCAAAGCAGATAAAGACGTTAATCCAGAGGGTGAAAATCCAGAGGGTGAAAATCAAGAGGTCGAAAATCAAGAGGTCGAAAATCAAGAGGTCGAAAATCAAGAAGTCGAAAATCAAGATGTCGAAAATCAAGAGGTCGAAAATCAAGAAGTCGAAAATCAAGATGTCGAAAATCAAGAGGGTGAAAATCCAGAGGGTAGATTCCAGATTTCCAGAGCTATTGACGACATGGATGATTACCTCAAGCTCACAGGTCAGTGAGTTATCTCTCTGCTTTTACCTTTTCACACACATGTAACATGGATATATTATCTCTGTTTAAGACGATATCTTTGAAAAGATCTGTTATTCCGATGGCCCTGAACTTGCGGACGCTCGAGAGATTCTACAGAACGTTCTATTTCGAAAACTGCCCAAATATCTGGGAAATGTTAAAATGACAGAGGAGCCTAATGCAGAGGTATCGAGTATTTTTCCAATGTTTATTTATTCCAATGTTTGTTTATTCCAATTTTTATCTACAATCACTGCCCTAAACAACAGGAAGAATTATAATCTGAGTTTGTGTTTATTCAAAAGACACAAGAAAAATGGAAAACTGAACTGGCACAACAGTCCACATATCACGGCGAGAACCCACTGACTGCAGATGATTTTGAATTTATTGTAAGTAAATATTGTACTGATTAATGTCCATCTATCCATTTGCTTCCGCTTTATCCGTTGCCGAGCTGGGAGGGCAGCAGTCTGAGCAGATGCACAAACTTCCCTATCCATAAACAATTCCTCCGTCTCATCCGGAAGAATCACAAAGCGTTCCCCGCTGAGAGACACAGTCCCTCCAGCATGTCCTGGTCTACAGATTCCTGAGCCAACTCAACTGGCTTTGTTCAATGTGGAGAAGAGCAGCTCTAATCCGAGCTCCCCCTGTAGGTCAAGCTCACAGCCACTCTGAGGAAGATACTCATTTTAAGGGCTTGCATCTGCAATCTTGTCCTTTCTGACATTACCAAAAGCTCATGAGATCATCAAGAGCTTTGACTGCAGACGCTGTTCCCTGTTCACTAGAGTCCAATACAGCGACCGCTGCACACGCTGCTCTGATCCATCTGTCAATCTCACGCTCCATCCTTCCCTCACGCGAGAATAAGACGGTGAGATACTTGGACTCCACTTGAGGAAGGACTTTTCTGCCCAATTCATGTTTATTATGTGCAGCGTTTGGTGAACGGCACTAAAGTAAATGAGATCAGGCTCAGAGTCAGAGATCCAAAACCGATTCCCCCGAGTGAGAGCTGTGTTCATGAAATACAACAACCACATGTTTCATGCTCTGGGACCTTTTTATAATAAAGAGCATAAAAGAAATATCTGTTGATCTTCATAGTAGAACTTCCACAACAAGTTGAAGAACAGCTCAGTCAAGCATAAGAACAGTAGCTCAAAAGTAAATTAAATAAGTAACTTTCTTTAGAGAGTAACTAAGTAAAGTAACAGGTTGTTTTTTCAAATAAGTAACGAGAAAAGTTACTTATAAAAAGTAACTTCTCTATCATAACAATGTAATTGTGTTTATCAGATCAGCCGTATTGACTTTGGAATGAGAGATCAAAACCCGATGGAAAGCCTGTATGTCTACAATAAGTTCAACATACCATTCAAGATTCCCAGTGACCAGGTCAGAACATAAACAATGTCACTATTATTACACATTTAATATGCAACAATGAAGTAGAATTCTCTTTTTCAGGTATCTCAGTTTCTCCTGCCAAATGAGTTTTCTGAGAAATCGATCAATGTCTACTACAAAAAGATGGACAATGTAGAAGTCGCTCAAAGGAATTTCTATGGATGGGGTCGCAGGAAGAACCTATACCTTCCTCCGGTAAGTCGTTTCATTTCTCTTCCACTGCTCAACTGTAGGAAGGGATGGACAGTGTAACCCAATCACTCTGTAAACTAACAGGGAAGTGCTCATGGGCAAGGTTTTGCTGCGACTGGATCTGGCCCCATCCTCTTTCAATGATACTCATTCCACTCTTCACTATTAGCCCCGTTTCCACCGCAGGAGTTCCTGGTAAAAGGAGCGGGGTGGTACTTTTACAGGAACCTTCCTCTCCCTCGGTCTTCTCAGTGTCTGTGTCTCCACTGCAGAGTAGGACCACTCGGCGACGTCATGAGTTTCGATTGCTGCATAAGCGAAACTCACTACGCCAAACCCGTTGTTATTATTATAGATCCATGCGCCAAACCCATGTGTTTATTTTACGTTCGTAACTGCTCCGGTTGTTGTGGTCCTTGAGTTTTTTTTATAGTCCTGCCTCAGATTTTTTTAACTTTTCACGGCCTGTGTGTGATTATCCCCAGTGCTTTGAGGTGAAGCTGATATGTCTTTTCATTTTGCCCGCGATGCATCAAACCCCGTCTGAATCAGCGCTGTGCTGTTGTTCGCTTTTTCCAGTGGTGTCTGCTAGGATAATGCTGCCGGGCTAATGCCCATTGTTTTGCTGCATTTATTGACTTCTGAGCGGTCTGAGCCTGCTCTAGCTTTAGCCAATCAGCGCCGGGTTAACCGCAAGTCCCACCAGGGCCTAACTGAGTACACGTAATGGAGGAGGGACTCCGTTGGGCCCCGTAAAAGTTCCTGTAAATGGCCCTGTGGGGAAAGTTCCTGCAGTGGAGACACGCACTGACGGGGCTGGCCCTGGAAAATTACCCCGAAGTTCCTGCGGTGGAAACAAGACTAATTTTTGCTTAAGCCTCAGAACAGCCCTCAAAGCACATTGACATTTTCCAGAAATAGCCACTCGCTATAGGTGACATCTGTCCACTCCCTCTGTCCACTCCCTCTGTCCACTCCTCTGTCCACTCCTCTGTCCACTCCCTCTGTCCACTCCTCTGTCCACTCCCTCTGTCCATTCTGACTGCAAATGTAGAAATGTCTTTTATACTTTTGTTTTGTGTACGTATGCATTTGTTACCGTATCTTGGATACGGTAACAGATACGGTAACACCACACTGCTGTTATGACAATTTACCACATATACTGTTTTGTCTTAGTCATTAATCTAACTTTCCATTGGTGGAGATCTGCTGGGTTTCTTTATTTTGATTGATTGAATACTTTATTTTGCACCATACAAAGTTATAACATTCTGCGCCATACGTAAAGCACTGTACCAACTTACATGGCCAACAAATGAAGAACAAAACAAAGAGGTACAGGGGCCTGATGGTAGAATCCGTACAGTGTGTGTTGTACGGATCCTACCTTCAGGCCCAGGGAGGATCTGTACAACACACACACACGCACGCACGTACGCACACACACACACATGATATGAACATACACATCAATCATTTTAATAATGCAAAGTCAGAAGCATACTATCAGTATGAGTTGTCACTCATCAAAAAATCATCAACATATTCATAATCAACTAATTATTATTATTATTTGTTTAATTGGCCATCTATCCATCAATTTCCTTCCCTTAATTCTGGGTCGGGGGGGTGGCAGTCAGAGCTGCACCCAGTACACAGAGCACCAGCCCCTCACTGATCCTTCTGCAGGTGGTGAGTCCACAGGAGCCCTGATCTATCAGCGGGGGCTTCAGGCAAAGTGGGGTTAAGTGTCTTGCCCAAGGACACAATGACAGCATTCATCAGTGGGAGTTGTGAAGTAGGTCTTGTGGTGGACTCAAACCCACAACCTTCAGGCCCAGAAGCCAATGCTCTACCAACTGAGCCACTGTCACCCCTGCTTGTCTTACATACAGTGCCTTGCGAAAGTATTCGGCCCCCTTGAACCTTTCAACATTTTGCCACATTTCAGGCTTCAAACATAAAAATATAAAAGTTAAATTGTGAAGTGGAACGAAATTTATTGGATAATTTAAACTTTTTTAACAAATAAAAAACTGAAAAGTGGTCCGTGCAATATTATTCGGCCCCTTGCGCTAATACTTTGTAGCGCCACCTTTTGCTGCAATTACAGCTGCAAGTCGCTTGGGGTATGTCTCTATCAGTTTTGCACATCGAGAGACTGGAATTCTTGCCCATTCTTCCTTGCAAAACAGCTCGAGCTCAGTGAGGTTGGATGGAGAGCGTTTGTGAACAGCAGTCTTCAGCTCTTTCCACAGATTCTCGATTGGATTCAGGTCTGGACTTTGACTTGGCCATTCTAACACCTGGATACGTCTATTTGTGAACCATTCCATTGTAGATTTGGCTTTATGTTTTGGATCATTGTCCTGTTGGAAGATAAATCTCCGTCCCAGTCTCAGGTCTTTTGCAGACTCCAACAGGTTTTCTTCCAGAATGGTCCTGTATTTGGCTCCATCCATCTTCCCATCAATTTTAGCCATCTTCCCTGTCCCTGCTGAAGAAAACAGGCCCAAACCATGATGCTGCCACCACCATGTTTGACAGTGGGGATGGTGTGTTCAGGGTGATGAGCTGTGTTGCTTTTACGCCAAACATATCGTTTTGCATTGTGGCCAAAAAGCTCGATTTTGGTTTCATCTGACCAGAGCACCTTCTTCCACATGTTTGGTGTGTCTCCCAGGTGGATTGTGGCAAACTTTAAACACGATTTTTTATGGATATCTTTGAGAAATGGCTTTCTTCTTGCCACTCTTCCATAAAGGCCAGATTTGTGCAGTGCACGACTTATTGTTGTCCTATGGATAGACTCTCCCACCTCAGCTGTAGTTATCTGCAGTTCATCCAGAGTGATCATGGGCCTCTTGGCTGCATCTCTGATCAGTCTTCTCCTTGTTTGAGATGAAAGTTTGGAGGGACGGCCGGGTCTTGGTAGATTTGCAGTGGTCTGATACTCCTTCCATTTCAATATAATTGCTTGCACAGTGCTCCTTGAGATGTTTAAAGCTTGGGAAATCTTTTTGTATCCAAATCCGGCTTTAAACTTCTCCACAACAGTATCTCGGACCTGCCTGGTGTGTTCCTTTGTCTTCATGGTTCTCTCTGCGCTTTAAACAGAACCCTGAGACTATCAAAGAGCAGGTGCATTTATACGGAGACTTGATTACACACAGGTGCATTCTATTTATCATCATCAGTCATTTAGGACAACATTGGATCATTCAAAGGTCCTCACTGAACTTCTGGAGTGAGTTTGCTGCACTGAAAGTAAAGGGGCCGAATAATATTGCACGCCCCACTTTTCAGTTTTTTATTTGTTAAAACAGTTTAAATTATCCAATAAATTTCGTTCCACTTCAAGATTGTGTCCCACTTGTTGTTGATTCATGACAAAAAAATTAAATTTGATATCTTTATGTTTGAAGACTGAAATGTGCTGAAATGTACAAGGCACTGTACATGGGTGTAATCTCTGTTAAATGGCCAGTGTTTCCGCATATTGTGATTCATTGCAGGTGATATAAACACACCTAAAATTTGCCACTTTTATTTAAAATAGTGTGACATAAAAACATTATATGTCTGTTTCTACCGTTTTAAATGAAAAAACCTGGTTGTAGAAATACTGTATGTGCAGAAATTACCTCATTATAAAAACAGCCTCACTATTGGCTAGTTTGGCTGGAACAGTGCATTGTTCTGGATGGTTCGACATACCAAATCTGAGCATGGGTCACAAAAGGTTAGCACACACATACAATTACACACAATGGGTTTGGTTGCGTTCAACAATGTTGCCTGGCCAGTATTACCAGTGGGCACTTCATCTGGTTTGAGAAGGAGCAACGCCATTTCACCTCTTGAAGTTGAGGTTGAGGTTGAACCTTGTAATTGAAAAAATGTGCAAACTCATTACATTTACGTTTGGAAGTTAGTTCTAATGGCAGCTGAACAGGGGGGTTTGTTAACTGTTGAAAACAGAACACGCAGATTGTTACTGCAGCCTTCGATCATTTCAGAAAAACCTTTGTAGTACTACAGTAGGTCCCATTTCGTTTTGTCGCCTTTCACGCGTAAATAGCACGAGACTCACGTGTGAAACACGCGTCTTTTATTTTGTTTTCCCCCAGTGATGCTGCAATGACCCAAACACTTGTGAGCAGGGTTAGGAACATTGGCTTCTCAGCGCTCATTCTTCTCTCTTCACCGGAGAACTTTGTGCAGCTTTATAGCTCAATGATAAGGAGCTAGACTCTGGTGCAAGAGGAGCCGGGTTCAAGTACAGGCTATGATACTTTTGATTTAGTTGACGTTTACATTTTTTCTAAAACATACTTAGTAATTAGGCCAACACATTTAAAATAGTTGCTAGACTGTAGTAAACTTGTAAAACGCGCTGGGTGTCACACATGGCTGGGGGCATTAACGCACAGGTTGCCACTATATATTCATTCTACAGTAGGTCCCATTTCGTTTTGTCGCCTTTCACGCGTGAATAGCACGAGACTCACGTGTGAAACACGCGTCTTTTATTTATTTTTCCCCCAGTGATGCTGCAATGACCCAAACAACCACCAGATGGCACTTGTGAGCAGGGTTAGGAACATTGGCTTCTCAGCGCTCATTCTTCTCTCTTCACCGGACAACTGTCTGTGGCTTTATAGCTCAATGATAAAGAGCTAGACTCTGGTGTGAGAGGACCCGGGTTCAAGTACAGGCTATGACACTTTTGATTTTGTTGACGTTTAAATTTTTTCTAAAACATACTTAGTAATTAGGCCAACACATTTAAAATAGTTGCTAGACTTTAGTAAACTTGTAAAACGCCCTGGGTGTCACACATGGCTGGGGGCATTAACGCACGGGTTGCCACTATTCATTCTATTACTATTCATTTCCTCTATAAATTCATTCATGTCATTGATGGCCTAATAATAGTGTAGTAGCCTACATAGGATAAAATATATGCAGCATAATATGAATTAATGCATATTTATATAAATATTGCATTAATTATGAGGCAGGGTGACCAATAGTGACAGATGCCAGCCAATCACGAAAGATTATACTTGTTTGAAAGTAGTGATTTCATCCAATGGGGAGTAAGCTTCATCCAATGGGGAGTAAACTACTAATGGGAGTAATCCCACGTGGGCTGGCCACGTGTGATTTTTCAGCCAATCACGAGTTTGAAAGTAGTGGTATCCGCCAATGCTGAATAGTGTTCTGAAGCAGCCTGGCCAGCCGCTGCATTCATATGCTAATTAGGGCCATTAGCGCTCGGCCTGCCGCAGTGTTTCGCTGCATTCATATGCAAAGTAGGGACATTAGCATGGTACAGATGCGGCAGTTTGGAGGACAGGGCACCCTAACTACGCGTTTTGAAAACTGCCTGAGATACCCGAAAAAGAGCGTGATTTCCTGCCGTTTAGGGTGACGAAAATTTAACTTTTCATGCAGTGCCTTATACTGTAGTCGCTCATACAGACTCCAAACTTTCTAGTCTTGGACGTAACAATATTTAGAAGGTTTTTTCAGAGGGATTTTTTAATAGCCTAGCCTGATTTATTCAGCTTTGAACCCAAAAAAACAGGCGGAATTGTTCGTATGATTGAGGCTGGTTCGATCTACTGGACGTTTGGGTAAGGCAAGCGCACAAGTTAAAGCTGCATAGGAACTGAACTGTACTGAACTAGATTGACCAGGGCTCGAGTCCACAGGAATGTCAAAAATCCAGTTTATCTTGAAGCACCAGTGAAGCACCCGGTCAAAATGCATGTTTGCTGCTGGCTATCCCATACTGTAGAAGAAGTCAGAAAGGAACTTTTGAGAAGAAGTGTTTTTATTAAAAAATAAGAAGTAAAAATAAGTAATAAAGTAAAATACAATTGTATTGTTACAGTACTTACAATACAGTGCAGTAAGTTAGTACAGTGCTTTACAGAGTCAAACCGCGTTTTGATAGGCCCGAAGTGAGCAACAAACCTCACCGCACGTCACTGGGTGGGGGTGGGGGATAGGGGCTGTGGCACAGTCTTG